GGGGGTGGGCGGGGAGACAGTGGCAGCACAACATAGGGCAATCAGCAGAAGGCTTCCTTGCCTAGGTTTCCTATGTCTGACCTGAGGCAACAAAGCCTTCATGGGCTTCAAAGTCAAAGTTGAGGGCTCTCAGGGCAACAACCTCCCAAGAGCTGTAGGAACAAATTACTGCAGATGCTGGAATCTGTATTGAAACCAACAAATGCTGGAGATTCTGAGATAACAAGGTGTGGAGCTGGATGAACACAGCAGACCAAGCAGCATCAGAGCAGTTCCTACTATCTCTAAATGCTGGAGATCACAGTGGGTCAGACAGTATCCATGGAGAGAAAGCAAGCTGACGTTTCGAGTCTAGATAACTCTTCCAAAGAGTTGTAGTCATTCTGGTGAATAGTCATATGGACTTGCAATGTTAGCTTGCTCTCTGTCCATGGATACTGTCTGACCCGCTGTGATCTCCAGCATTTGTTGGTTTCAAGTTTGAACAGTTTGTTGCTTTTCTACCTTTGGGTTCCTGTGACGATGGATATCGAGACGCAGAGGACATCAAAATGAAAATGAGAAAATGAATAAAACAGTCCACAAATCATAAACAATGTAAAAATGGGTTGAGCTGAAGAGGGGAAACTTTAATTGGGGACAACCTGTAGAAGTGCAACAATAAACATTGTTGAACAGAAATTAAAACTAGGATCTTCAGTTCTGAAGAAGGGCCACTGGACCTGAAACCTTAACTTTGCTTTCTCTCCATAGATGCTGCCTGACCTGTTGAGTTTCTCCAGCAACTTCTGTTTCTGTGTGTTTCAGAAACCACGTCTCTGGCTGGGGATGGACGGGAGAGAAAGCTGTGGTTAGTGTTTACCGTGCTGCCGCTAGGGGGCGGGCCGATCCGTACTTTGAGCCTCCGCAGCCGCCATCTGCCGCCGCTGGCCATTCTGGGGGATGTAGTCGCGCGGGGGAATTATGGGAAGTGTAGTCCAGCGCCGCCACAACATGGCGGACTGTCTGGAGCGGGTCCGAGTCTCCGAGGCCGAGCTCCGGGAAGTCGCCCGAAACCTCAGCACGGCGGCGGCCCGCGCCGGTAAGACACACCCCAGGGTGGGCAGCGCTCGCACAGGGGTCCGGCAACCAGCCAAACCGGCCACCGACTGTCCACGGGCTCGGGAGCCGGGCTCGGGCCCAGGCACAGCGCGGTCCCGGGAGCGGGTAACGGCCCCGGCAACCGACTCCCCCCCGCTCCCCCCTCCCCTCCCCCACCGCCCCCCCATCCCCCACCCCCATCCCCCACCCCCATCCCCCACCCCCATCCCCCACCCCCATCCCCCACCCCCA